GCAGCAGCTGCAGAGCGGAGGGCAGCAAGAGCCGGTTTGGGTGTTGGATGTGGAGATGGCGGACGAGGCTTGCACCGATGAGCTGGAATCAAGCCCCATGGAGGGGGAGAATGCCAACCCTGATTCCCCGGACCAAGCGGAAAGGCCCCGAGCGCGGGGCCGGGGCCGGAGGCGACGGGCAACCAAACTGCAGCAGCTGCAGAGCGGAGGGCAGCAGCAGCTGCCGAGCGGAGAGCAGCAGCAGCTGCAGAGCGGAGGGCAGCAGCAGTTGCCGAGCGGAGGGCAGCTGCAGCTGCAGAGCGGAGGGCAGCAGCAGCTGCCGAGCGGAGGGCAGCAGCAGCTGCAGAGCGGAGGGCACCAGCTGCCGAGCGGAGGGCAGCAGCAGCTGCAGAGCGGAGGGCAGCAGCAGCTGCAGAGCGGAGGGCAGCAGGAGCTGCAGAGCGGAGGGCAGCAGCAGCTGCAGAGCGGAGGGCAGCAGCAGCTGCAGAGCGGAGGGCAGCAGCAGCTGCCGAGCGGAGGGCAGCGGGAGCTGCAGAGCGGAGGGCAGCAGCAGCTGCAGAGCGGAGGGCAGCAGCAGCTGCAGAGCGGAGGGCAGCAGCAGCTGCAGAGCGGAGGGCAGCAGCAGCTGCAGAGCGGAGGGCAGCAGCAGCTGCAGAGCGGAGGGCAGCAGCAGCTGCAGAGCGGAGGGCAGCAGCAGCTGCAGAGCGGAGGGCAGCAGGAGCTGCAGAGCGGAGGGCAACGGCAATTGCAGAGCGAAGGGCAGCAGCAGTTGCAGAGCGGAGGGCAGCAGCAGCTGCAGTGCGGAGGGATGGAGCTTGCAAGGCCGTTAGAGGGGGGCATGGAGACGGAGTCTAGCAGGAGGGTCTTGCCGGCGTGTTCGAGTGGAGAGGAGCACCCAGACCCTACATTGACACCCCCGCCCCGCATTCCGTGCGAAACCTGTTATCGCACGTTTACGGAGAGAGGAAAGGCCACACGCCATATGTCGGCCTGCAGGGCAGCGGACGCCCAGCGTCGTGCTCAGGCGCTTGGGTTGACCCGCGACGTCACAGATGACTCGGACGGCGAACCCCCGCCACCACGTGATATCAGTGAAGAGGTATGGGCCGCAGTTCCTACATGGGACTGGGAGTCGTTTTTTAGGATCGAATTGGTGCCAGGGAGAATCATGCGTCGTATCCCACAGCGCGCTAGATTGGGGGTGATTGATGCACTGTCTTGTGTCCTGAAGCGACTACAGTTAAAGGCAGCAGACGAGGCGGCGTCCTTGGTCTTTTTGGCCTTCCCTCGTCTTATCTTGGGGATGCCAACTGGGCAAGGCCAGGGGCATAGGGCGGCAATCAGGGAGCGGTTGGAGAAGTTTTGGGTCGGGGAGTGGCGGGAGCTGTTTGAGTTGGCGGTGGCGGTAATGCAACCTGCGGCGCGTCCTTTGTCCTTCACCCCCCCCGAGCATGATCCTGATGCGGTGCGCCTGGCTCGCTGCCGCACAAGGTGCAAAGTGGGAGAATGGAGTCGGGGTTTGACGTGTCTTACTGCCGGTAGCATCGCTCAGCCCTCTCAGCACATGGTGGACGCGCTGCGAGCGAAACACCCATCGAGCGAGACCGCCTTTCCGGAGTGGTTGCAGGAGGAGATAGTTGAGCCTTCCCTTATCCCGCAGCTCTCAGTGGAGGTACTTGGTCAGGCGATCCACTCTGCGGCTAGGGCGTCGGCACCAGGACCGTCGGGGTGGGTGACGGAGCACCTGCGCGACACTTTTCTCTCTGAGCCCGCATACCTGCCTCACCTGCTAGGAGTCTTCACCCAGTGGACCAAGGGAGAGGTAGCGGAGCGCGTGCGACCCTGGCTCACTGCGTCCAACCTTGTGGGCCTGTCGAAGCCGAATGGTGATGTTCGCCCGGTGGCTATAGGCGAGGTGCTCCCCCGCATACTATCTCGGGCCCTATGCATCGTGCTTCGGCCGAAGATGATGTCGCACTTTGCGCCGTGTAACCAGCTAGGAGTCGGATCCAGGTCGGGAGTGGAAGTCCTCGCACATGCCTTTCGTTCTGCCATCTCTACTCACCCGTCATGGTGCGCACTTCAAATTGATGTGGCGAATGCTTTCAACTCCTTCCATCGGCGGGAAATGTTTGAAGGACTTCGACAGTCGCCTTTTGCGGGTTTGATCCCATTCCTGCGTGTCTTCTACGGCACTCCTAGCGACCTCTACCTCCGTGCGGGCCCCTTCGTCGAAGCTTTGGCTTCAGAGCGAGGATCGAGGCAAGGGGACCCATTGGGGCCGTTTCTGTTCGCGTTCACACAGCAGCTGGTTATGGAGCCCACCAAACAAGAATTCGCCGACCTACTCTTTCTCAGCTACGCCGATGATACGTACATCTTGGGGCCTAGGGAGCGGGTGCTAGCAGCTTATGAGGTCTTGCGGGAACGACCGGGCGGGCTTGGTCTGGAGGTGCAGCCGCATAAGTGCAAGCTTTGGGAGCGAGGGGTGGACCAGGAGGGAGAGGAGAGGAACGAGACCGTCCCGCCCGGCATGCAGCAAACATGGACGGGGCTCACCGTAGTGGGGGTTCCTATTGGGGAGGAGGAGTGGGAGGTGGCCAGCTTGCGAGGCCGGCTGATGCAGCTGCATGCACCTGTCCCTTGGCTTCCTTTGCTCGACCACCCACAGATTGCGTCCCATCTGCTGGCGATCGCAGTGTCAGCGCGCCCGATTTACCTCACAAGGACGATGCCTCCACGGCCTGAGGTTGTGGAGGCTTTCCGCGACTGGGACACGAAGCTTGAGGATTGTTTTGAGCAGCTGTTTCCAGATAGCACCTGGGATCATGATTCGGCAAGGTCGCAGATGGCCCGTCTACAGCTGCACCTTCCAGCCAGACTTGGAGGGTTTGGCATTCGATCTGCAGCTGACCTTAGCCCTCTGTCGTACGCATGTGGTTGGTGCCAGGTAGTGAGCGATGTGGCTCGGATGGGGGTGGCAGGGGAGGAACGGATGTTTGAGGAGTTTTTCTGCACGCCCAAGGCTACGACCTTGCTGGATCCTTGGTTTGCGAGAGCAGTGGAGCTGCTGCCACAGTCGGTCAGGCAGGAGATGCCACCCCTAGCCTTATGCACCGCTGACCCCCCTGTGCTGCTTTTCCCCACACAACACCGTCGCCTAGCGGTTGAGAGTCTGCAGACTCTTCGGGGTATGGCCCACGACGACGCCACCATGGCCCGTTTGACATCCCTTCAGGGCCCGGGGGCAGGGGCGTGGGTCTCCGCCGTCCCTTCGCACGAAGAGGCTACCTTCACCGCAGCCGAGTGGAGCATCTGTGCGTCCATGCGCCTAGGCCTCCCCATACAGCAGCTGATAGTCGCCGGCAAGTGCGCGTGTGGGTTTGAGTTTGCTGATCCCTCTGACCCGCATCATGCCCTTCGCTGCAAGTACCAGTACGCACCTTCTCGTGTTCACGACGCGGTTAAGTTTGTGGTGGCGAAGATAGCTAAAGGGGCGGGTGGGGTCGTGACCATGGAAGACGACACGTTGCTGCCAGGGAAGAGGGTGGATGTGGCGGTGCGGAGACTGAGGGAGGGGGAGGAGCATGCGCTGGAGGTTAGTGTGGTGGACCCTATCTCGTTGTCCGCGCAGCACCATGGACAGATTGGTCGCAAGGTGGGTTTTGCCGCTAGAGAGAGGGAAAAGCGGAAGGCGGCGGACTACAAATTGCTTCTGCAGCGACATAGGGGAGTGCAGTTTACACCTCTCATTGCTGAGACATGGGGTTGCCTGGGGGGGAGTTTTGGGCGGTGGCTTAAGAAACAGGGCGACGCGCAGATTGAGGTAACGAAGACGAAAGGGGCGGCGAGAGCTACGGGGAAAGGTTTCTCGGCTTACTTGCTTGGATCACTTAAAGCGGCCATAGGTGTGGCTTTGCAGCGGGCTCAGGCGCGTGTGATCTTGTTGCGCGCGGCGTCGATGATGAGAGGCCCAGAGGCTGTTTCGGTGGAGCGGGAGGATTTTGAGGAGGAGATGGGATGGGATGCTCCGTGGGCGGATGCGCCCTATTTGGTGGACATGCGGGTTTAGAGGGTGGGTTTAGGTGAGGGGGGTGGGGGGTTTGGTTAGATGGGGCGTATTGTTGGGGTGTCTCGTTGGGGTGTCTCGTTGGGGTGTCTCGTTGGGGGTATCTCGTTGGGGTGTCTTTTGGGGTTCCTTATGTGCTGTTCTACTGGGGTGTTCTTGAGGCTGCGTTTTCCGTTTTTCTTTCATTTAAAACTGAAAAAAAAAGATTTTATGAAAAAAACAAACAAACAAACAAACAAACAAAATCCCTTTGTGGCTGTCGTTTGTGCCACCCTGGGTGGTGTGGTGGAACCAGTGTCTCTCAATTATTGGCGGTCAGTCTTTCCGTGGGACACTTCTACAGAGGAGCAAGTATTGCACATCCCGCAAGAGACGCATATGAAAAACTCATCCAGCAATACTGTATCTCGCGTGGTGAAGAGCGGTGTCTCAATTATTGGCGTGCTGGCCATTCTTCGCCTCTGAAACGCTTCTATAGAGGAGCAATGCAATTATATGAGGTGAATACAATGCGGGTTCGAACCAGATTCGGTAGCAACTCGAATCGCGTCGCCGTCACTCCGTCTCAGCCTCCACCCCACCTATAGCAACAGAAAACCATCTCGTGGTCATCCGCTTGCACTAATTCACCTCTTACTAGACTTCAGTCAGTGCTTTCTACTGCGTCCGACTTCCATTCGGAGCGCCGAGCAGTCTCTTTCGTTCTGAACCATGGCCTTTACTCCGCCTCGCGTCTTGGTGTTAGGTAAGCGCCAGCGACAGCGCCATTATCATAATGATTGGAACTGTGGGCTTTCCAACGGCTTTGCCGCAATGACTGCTCGTTCGCCAATTCTGCAAATGCTTCAAAGCGATCTGAAAATTTGAACTCATTCCGCAGCCTCTCACAATCCTCACACGTGGCATGATGTGTGCAGCGTTCCTCGCGGCGATGCTCACAATCGCGTACGCCGGCGATGACGAGGTTATTGGTCAGTTTCCTTTTCTTTCCTCCTCCCGTGTAACGCATTTCTTGCTCGAAAATAAGCATGTCTTCTTGTTTTTCATTCTCTTGGGCATCAAATCAGGTCCCCCCTTCGTTTTACCTTGTCCTAGCATTCTCATCTCACCTCTCCGCTCGTCTCATCTTTCCTCATTCCCCCCCTCGTTCGCTCCGGTCATCCCCGTTCGCTCCGGCCTCCACAGGCAACACCTTAGTGGGAGTGAACGAGGTTCCCAAAAACGACTCTCAAGCCGCCAAGAACGCCGTCGGCGATCCCAGTGGCGTCGTCTACATGAATCTGCGCATTTACCAGTGAGCAACACCTTTTGAGACAGTGCATTATGATGGTGACCATGAACCAACTTTCGGAAATAACTCAAAAGTGGCCAATTCCTTGTTTTTCTTCGACCTTCGCCGCTTGAACTGCACAAATTCTTTCATGCGGGTTCCACTGAATTCCCACAACCTTTTTTTTGCGCGTTTCTATAATTCTTCAAAAACTACCATGATTGCTTCTTATCAGGGATGACGACAACAAGCCCAAGTGGGTCAAGTACACGGTGAATACCATGCGAATGACAGGCGAGATGCCGCCGACCAAGACGCACGTGCACAAGGGGAAGAAGGGGACGAATGGCGACGTGCTCCTGGACCTGCCGTGCAAATACGTGAAGACGGGCAGCAACGAGTGGCACTGCGAGGGCTCCCTTGGGAAGAACAAGGCTGATCGAACGGATTCACTGCTGTCGGCTCTCCAGAAGCTCGTTAACCGCCCCAATAAGTACTATGGGAATATTCACACGAAACGGTATCCTGACGGCGCCGTTCGTGGTCAGTTATGGAATGTGTAGGGTTTCAGGGTTAGGGAAAGGAAATACCTACAGGTGAGTAGAATCGGGAAACAGGCAGTAATAAGGACCCTGTAATGGGTCCCTCCCAGAAGCCAACTGCTTGTTTTGCTGTAATTATTGCAGCTACCGATATCAATAAAGAAACCAATTTCAGCTCTTGGTCCGCCATTACCGTAATCCCAAGGCAAAGGCACCTGCCCCAGTAATGCCAGTAATCCCCAAGATTTTGCCATTTGCAAGGACTTTCTCCATCTGTATCCATCATTTATTTCCTTTCTGTTTATACACATGTGGTGAGATTCCATTTTCTTAGTCAAAAGCTGTTGGTTGTTACTTACCGATTGCCATTCCATCCAAGATACATCAACACTGCTCCACGTTCCATTCACCTTCCCAATACTTCCCTCCCTACAATGGCTTCGGCGGCTCAACAAACGATGCCGCCTGTTCCTCCCGACTTGGAATACCATCTAGCGCCTTCTCAGAAGCTTCAATGAGACGATCGGTCTCTAGCGAGTCAGAACCGTGGTCTTGGTCCCGAGTGGTTGGGAGGACGGGTGAGGAGGGGACCTTTGCCTGTTTCTGGCGGTACTTGGCTATAGAATACCACACACCGCCTGCTGAATTGATAGACAGACCCGTTACATTAAGTAACTGGAATTTCACGCCCCCAAGGAAGAAAAATCCGAAGATCTGAGGGGACAGCGCAGGAAAACAGAAAAGAAATGTACAAACATTGCAACTTAGGTACTTCATGGTCCATGTGAGTGAGGGGAAACTGTTGGATGGCATGGGCTGGGAAAAGATACAATCTCAACATGCACAGTACGTACCGTTGTGAACACGCCCTTGAGCACACCAACGATGGTGGTGGTGAGAGCAGAGTTGACGATGGTGCAGAGGAACATGGTGTAGTTTAGGATTGTAGAGGAAGGTGAGGTGAGGGAATGCTGGTGAAAATCTAGTGCACAGGAGAGGACGTACCGTTGTGAAAACGCCCTTAAGCACACCAACAATGGTGGTGGTGAGAGCAGAGTTGACGATGGTGCAGAGGAACATGGTGTAGTTTAGAACCAGCGCCATAACCAGCGATGCGGTTACCGCCACTGTGAATGTACTGGATTCGGCACACTGGTAGCGGGGAGAGGGGTGGGAGGGATGGATGGAGGGAAGCGAGGGAGAGCAAAGAGAGGCGAGGAGGGAAGAAGTCTGAGGGTAGCTGGGGGGAAGGGGTGAAGAGAATGGGACGAGCTCGCAATGGTGCGGATGAGCAAGTCAAATGGGTAACGAACCTGGGAAACAAAGAGAGAGGAACATAAGAGAAGGGGAATTGTCAGAGAAGTGGATAAACGAGAAAGGGATAACTTAGACTGCACGAAGAGAAAATAACGTGGTCAACAGCAGCAGCACGGAGTGAGGCAGCTTGTTGGTGCCAAGCAGAGTGGCCCCCAGAAACGGCAGCGAGAGCACTTTTGAGACCTCTCAAAAGTTGGTGCCGAGCTGAGTGGCCCCCAGAAACGGCAGCGAGAGCAGCGCGGTGTACGACATGAGTTCAACGGATAAAAGACAAGAGGTGACTCGATTTGAATGGCAGAGAAAGGGAACAACTTTTGTTGTACGAGAGAAAGGGGTTGTTGTTGTAGCATGGTGAAGAGCAGCGGCATGGAGTGAGGCGGTACCATGGTGAAAAGAGAAAGAGAAGGGGATGAATAGAGGCGGTACCATGGTGAAAAGCAGCGGCACGGGGTGAGGCAGCTCGTTGGTGCAGAGCAGAATAGCTCCAAGGAAAGGCAGGGAGAGCAGCGCATTGTGAAACATGAGCTCAAAGGAAGAAAGATTAGAGGTGACTCGATTTGAATGGCAGAGAAAGAAACAACCTAGGTGCAAGAGAGAGAGAAGGGCATTGTTGTTGTACCATGGTGAAGAGCAGAGCAGCGGCACGGAGGTAGGCAGCTCGTTGGTGCAGAGCAGAATGGCTCCCAGAAACGGCAGGGAGAGCAGCGCATTGTAGAACATGAGCTCAAAGGAGGAGAGAGACAGGGGTGAACAGCAGCGGATTTCATGGCAGAGAAACCAAACCAGCGTGGTGCAAGACTAGAGAGAAGGGGGTTGTTGCTGTACCATGGTGAAGAGCAGTGGCACGGAGGTAGGCAGCTCGTTGGTGCAGAGCAGAATGGCTCCCAGGAAAGGCAGGGAGAGCAGTGCGTTTTAGAACATGAGCTCAAAGAATGAGGGGCAACCGGTGACTCGATCTTATTGCAGATAACCAAGGAAGGGGTTGTTGTACCATACCATGGTGAAGAGCAGCGGCACAGATGTAGGCAGCTCGTTGGTGCAGAGCAGGATGGCTCCCAGGAACGGCAGGGAGAGCAGTGCGTTGTAGAACATGAGCTCAAAGGACGAGATGCCCTGCTCTGCCCCTGACTTCTCAACGAGGAGCAGGTAGAAGGTCTGGCAGAGCACGGAGGTGAGGGCGAGCGCGTAGGCGTAGGGGTCCAGGGAGAAATCGCCCAGCGCTGCTATCAGGCAGCCGAATGTGGTGAGGGATACAGAGAGGGTGACCTGGAGGGGGTGGGGGCGGAGGTGAGGGTGGGAGAGATCATAGAGGGTGCACGGAGGGGGATGGGCAGAGCACGGAGGTGAGGGCGAGTGCGTAGGCGTAGGGGTCCAAAGAGAAATCGCCCAGAGCTGCGATCAGGCAGCCAAACGTGGTCAGGGAAACCGAGAGGGTAACCTGGAGGGGGTGAGGGCGGAGGTGAGACCGGGAGAGATCATAGAGGAAGCACGGAGGGAGATGGGCAGAGCATGGAGGTGAGGGCGAGTGCGTAGGCGTAGGGGTCCAAAGAGAAATCGCCCAGAGCGGCTATCAGGCAGCCAAAGGTTGTGAGGGAGACCGAGAGGGTGACCTGGCGGGGTTGGGGTTAAAGAGTGAGGCGTGGGAGGGGGAGTGAATGGAAGCAGACCGGAGGCGTTGTCGAACATGAGGTTAAGGAGAGTTGGAAGGGGGATATGGTGGAATGCCCGTTCATCCACCCTGCAGGGCCCTGCACTGCTGAACGAGCAGCAGGTAGAAGGTCTGGCAGATCACGGACGTGAGCACGAACGCGTAGGCGTAGGGGTCCAAGGAGAAATCGCCCAGAGCTGCTATGCGGCAGCCGAATGTGGTGAGAGAGACTGAGAGGGTGACCTAAAAGTGAGGTGGGGTAGAGGGAGCATGGGGAGAGCACGGACGTGAGGGCGAGCGCGTACGCGTAGGGGTCCAAAGAGAAATCGCCCAACGCTGCTATCAGGCAGCCGAATGTGGTGAGGGATACAGAGAGAGTCACCTGGGGTTTGGATGGGGATAGAGTGAAGGGGCGGACGAGGGGTGGGAGGGGTGGGAGGAAGGGTGGCGGGCGGGGGGGGTGTGAATGGAAACAGAACGGAGGTAAGAATTGCTGTTTCATTCACCCTGCTCTGCCCCCGAGCGCTCCACGAGCAGCAGGTCGAAGGTCTGGCAGAGCACGGAGGTGAGGGCGAGCGCGTACGCGTAGGGGTCCAACGAGAAATCGCCCAGCGCTGCGATCACGCAGCCGAACGTGGTGAGGGAAACCGAGAGGGTGACCTGGAGGGGGTGGGGGTAGAGAGTGAGGCGTGGGGGGGTTGGGAGGAGGGAAAGAGAGTCTCAATATTAGGGCCAATTCAAAGTACAGCTAAGGCGAGACGTGAGTGCGTGGGCGTAGGGGTCCAAAGAGAAATCGCCCAATGCGGCTATCAGGCAGCCAAACGTGGTCAGGGCCACTGATTGGGTGAGCTGCAGGTGGGGGGGGGATGGGAGTAGAGTGAGCATGGAGAGAGCAGGGAGATGAGGGAGACGAAAGGCTGACCTGAAGGCGGGTGGGGATAGGGTTAGAGAGTGAGGGTGGGTGGTGGGATGGAGTGCGGGACAAACAGGGACTCAGGGAGGTGACATGAGGGCCGGCATGTAGGCGTACGAGTATAACTGAAGTAGCTTATAGCGCATTTGAGGCGCCTCAAAAGTAGACTCCTCAGGGAGGTGACATGAGGGCCGGCATGTAGGCGTAGGAGTATAAGGGAAGTTGCTTGGAGCTGGTATGAGGCAGCTGAATGTGGTGAGAGAAGGAGAGGGTGACCTGGGGTGGGCTCACCTGCAGGGGCTGCTTGGCCTTGCCAGTGAAGAAGCCCGTTATAAGCACAGCCATGGGCGTGAGGCGCTTGAGAGCAATGTACATGGGGATGTTGACGCCCTGCAGACTCGCCAGGGCGAAGTCTGGCTGGCTAATGCATAGCTAGGGAGAAACGGGGAGAAGGGGCTCACCTGTAGGGGCTGCTTGGCCTTGCCACTGAAGAACCCCGTTATGAGCACTGCCATGGGCGTCAACCGTTTTAGAGCAATGTACATGGGGATGTTGACGCCCTGCAGACTCGCCAGGGTCAAGGCTCATGGGCTAGGGCAAATGGAGGGCTAAGGGGCACCGGGAGAAAGGGTCTCACCTGCAGGGGCTGCTTGACCTTGCCAGTGAAGAACCCCGTTATGAGCACAGCCATGGGCGTCAACCGCTTTAGTGCAATGTACATGGGGATGTTGACCCCCTGCAGACTCGCCAGGGCGAAGGCAACGCTGGCTAATCCATAGAGTGGCTAGGGGGCACTGAGAGAAGGGTCTCACCTGCAGGGGCTGCTTGGCCTTGCCAGTGAAGAACCCCGTTATGAGCACTGCCATGGGCGTCAACCGCTTGAGAGCAATGTACATGGGGATGTTGACGCCCTGCAGACTCGCGAGGGCGAAGGCGACGTTGGCGTTGTAAAAGAAGGAGAGCGGCAGCAGGCGACGCGCGGTGGAGAGGGAGAATGGCCGCATGGTGATCCACTCGAGCTTCCCACAACCATAAATAAGAGCTGTTGTGGCTATCATCTGCCGGATGGAGGGGTGGGAGGGGGTTCGATTGGGATCGGAGCACAGAAAAAGCGAGAGCGGCAGGCCTTTTAATAGGGGCGTCTCCTTCAAGACCCAACGGAAGGGCTGGAGCCGGGGGGTTGGTGCCATGTTAGGAGGAGAGGGCGAAGGCGACGTTGGCGTTGTAGAAGAAGGAGAGTGGCAGCAGGCGACGGGCCGTGGAGAGGGAGAATGGGCGCATGGTGATCCACTCGAGCTTCCCACTCACGTAGATAAGTGATGTTGTGGCGCTCATGTGGTGGGGGGATGGGATGGAGGGGAATTAGGGTTGGGAGCACAGAAATAGGGAGAATGACAGGCATTTTATATGGGCGTCTCTGTGAAGACGCCATGCAAGAGCGGAAGGCGGCGAGCAGTGGAGAGGAGAGGGAGAATGGACGCATGGCGATCCACTCAAGCTTCCCACAGATGTAAATAAGTGCTGTTGTCGTGATCATCTGAGGCGATGTGGGGGGAACGCGGAGAGTGGCAGCAGGCGGTGGGTGGTGGAGAGGGGAACGGGCACATGGGGATTCACTCACGTCTTCCTCTTCCATAGGCGTACGGCACGCATGCTCCCACCCACCTGCGGAGCCACGTGAAAGAAGTGAAGCTCTGCGACGTCTCAAAACTTCACTTCTTTCACGTGGTCTTCCATCAGCGTACGGGAAGCATGCTTTCACCCACCTGCAGAGCGAGAAGAGTCATGCTGAACTTGTAGCAGGTGGGCAGACCCTTGTTGGGAAACACGCTCTAAAAGGTGGTAACCCTTCCACCAACCCCATCCACATGCAGTGCCAGAAGCGTCTGGCTGAACTTGTAATAAGTTAGCACGCCCTTGTTGAGCAATGTGCTATAGAATGTCACAATGCACCAGCTCCGACCCACGCACGCTCTCACCCACCCACCCACGCTCGCAGTGCCAGCAGCGTCATGCTAAACTTGTAATACGCGAGCACGGCCTTGTTGAAAAGCATGCATTAGAATGTGACAACAGCCGCAGACCAACACGAGCTCACCTGCAGAGCTAGAAGCGTCATGCTGAACTTGTAATAGGTGAGCACGCCCTTGTTGAGAAACACGCTCTAGAAGGTGGTGCAATGCAACCCTGTTAAACACCAGCCAGCTAGGAACATGCTCCCGCTCACCTGTAGCGCCAGCAGCGTCATGCTGAACTTGTAATAAGTGAGCACGCCCTTGTTGAGAAACACCATGGCCATTGATGCCAGGCCGTATGACACTGCTGCCAGGCCGCTGTGGGATGCAGGGGAGGGGGGAGGTGAGTGGGGAGAGGGAAGGTGAGTGAGATGGAAGAGAGAAGGGATGAGGGAAGGACAGGCTGTGCACACGTTGTTGTTGAGCCGCAACACAACATGACCACTGATGCCAGGCCGTCCGATACTCCTGCCATGCCAAGGCAGGCAGCGTGCAGGGGAGTGGGAAGGTGAGTGGGGAGAGGCAAGGGATGAAGGGAAGGGCAAGAGCTGTGAGCACGGCAGTGTTGAGTTGTGAAACGCCAAGACATGACCGTTGATTCCAGGCTGTGGCCTGTAGGGCACCGCTGCCAGGCCGCTGGGGATGAGTGAGGGGAGGAACGGATTCAGGGAGGGCGACTAGGAACGGGAAAGAAGAGGGGGCTTGACAAACAATGTTTGGGTCAAGAGAAATCTTAAAAGTGGATCTACACGCATGGCCGTGATGAGAAACTCCATTCATGGGCACTGATTGGCGGAAGGCTGAGTTGAACACCACAACCAGGCTGCTGAAAGAACTGAGGGGGATGAAGGGGAACTTAAGGGTGGGCGCAAAGGATTGGGGGAGCGGAAAAGAGAGGAACTCTCAGCTGAAGGTTTAGGCAATGAGGAATCAGCTATTTCTCCTGCAAACATGGCAGTTGTTTTCCCTGCACGTATGGTAGTACTACTGGCGGACGACATTACTAAAGGAAGCACTTTGATTATGGTAAACGGTCCAAATTACGTTTTGAACCTAATTTTCACGACCGCTGAGCAGCTGCTATTGTGAGACATGCACCCGAATTGAGCACCGAAATCCAACACTCGTAACTACTAGCATTTGGAACGGAACACTTTACAAGCGAACGGAACTGACAAATTGGAATTAAGGTACAATTTGAAGAGCGGAATTGACAGGCTTCCTTACAATCACATCTCAGTCATGAATTACACGTGTCCGGTATAATCACACCTGAGCCAGGGGCCAGACAGTCGCCAGGGCATCGACGGCCGGCCATACACGCGACCCATTGCGTGACTACTTTCGGCTCCGCCTCCCGATTTCAAGCTATCTGCCTCGTTCTCGCTGCTTCTCATGTCCCTGTCGTCCGCAGCAGCCGTTCAGCAGAATACCTGCCAACATGCGTAGGAGAATTCTCGCCGACGTGCAGACTGCGTCCACCCTTAGCGCGTGTACGTTGTAGAATTAGCGTGGATGCATTCGCAGCTAATTGCCTGAAAGGTCCACGGTGGCTTCGCACCTCTCAGCTGCTTGGCAATGGCAGCGAGAACTTGAAACACAAACCAGCCAAAGCAACGAGACTCTCGTTATGAAAACAAGCAAGCTTTTGGCGTTAGACCCCCTGTCGAGTTCACTTTCTGGTCGGTAAACTCGGTGTCATACCATTTTGTGCAATTTGAAGCGGTTTGTTACATTACAGTGATCCACTACAGTGCGCGGCAGCTTCAAGAGGTGCGGTCAGTGCGGTGCAGAGTGACATCAGGCTGGTTGTTGGCAAGAATTGTCACTATTCAGAAGCATGACAGCTTTATATGTCACCATTGAGTGCAATTGAGCGAGCGAGCGAGAATTGCACTATCGAAGCAAACAATATATAGCGAACTAGAGTGGTAACGGTAACGCGATATAGTGGGGTGCGTTACGGGCCTAGTGCCGAGGTTGGGAAATGTCGAGGCGGAGGTTCGGAGCGCGGGTTACCAACCGAGCCGTGAGGTTGGGTCGCATCGTGAACGGTGGCGGGAGTCGTAGGCGAGGCGAGTGTCGCGAGCGGGTAACGTTTCACTGTTGGGTGCCGATGGCGGGAATGGTCTTGTACGCGGTAAGCAGGGGCGCGAAGAAAGGAAAGGGGATTTTCCTTATACTACCCCCCCCCCCCTCCAAGGAGGCCCTCCTTACGAGAGCGCGTGTACATCTCGAAAATTTCGGCTGCGCAGATACTCAGTGAGGACAGGGTGATTTTCAACTCTATCCGAGGGGAACCCAGTTGTCTTCGGTGGGCGTGCGGTCTTTCCAGCGGATCAGGAATTCAATCCTGCGGGCTCCCCGTGGGTCACGTACTCGGTGGCTCTGTATTTTTTCGGGCGTGATGATTGGCTCTGTCGGCGGTCGTGTCATGCTGGCGGGGCGGTTGCGAGGCAGTTGGCTGGTAGATGGCACGTATGGGTGAAGCAGGCTGACGTGGAATGACGGGCTGACGTACCAGTCAGCAGGGAGGAGGAGGTGGGCGGTGATGGGGGTGATCATGTGGCTGATGCGAAATGGCCCGCAATATCGGGGGCGGAGCTTTGGAGTGATGTGCAGGCGGAGGTTTTGAGTGTCGAGTAATACGAGGTCGTCGGGCTGGTAAGTGACGGGTCGACGGTGGCGGTCGGCATTACGCTTAGCGATGATGTTCGGTTTTTTTATTGCGTCTGCTGCTCGGGTCTCTGCTGCTTGTAAAATTTCTGCGAATTGTTGCGCGCGTGGCACCGGGTTGTCGGGATTCGGGGTCATGGGTACTATGGGATCTTGTCCGTAGTTCAGGTAAAATGGTGACTGTTGGGTCGTGGTGGATGGCGAGTTATTGTACGCGAATTCGATGAGTGGCAGTTGCTGTTCCCAGGTAGTCGGGTCGTCGCACGTGGCTCGGATGAGTTGTTCCATGGTCTGGTTTGTCCGTGTCTGTCCGTCGGACTCGGGGTGGTACGAAGAACTGAACTGTAGTCGCGTGCCGAACTACTGCCACAGGTTTCGCCAGAAGTTGCTGGTGAATTTCGTGTCGCGGTCGCTGATAATGGATGCTGGTATCCCGTGTCGTCGAACGACGGTGGAGATGAAGAGGCGGGCTGTTTCTTCGGCTGTGATTGATTTTTTGCAGGCTGCGAAATGTGCCATTTTCGTCAGCCGATCGACGACGACCAGGATTGCGTCGTTCCCACTTGCTCCAGTCGGTAACCCCGTGACGAAGTCCATCGTCACCTACTGCCAAGCACGCTCTGGGGGTGGTATCGGCTCCAACTGCCCTGCCGGCCGTTGCCGTGATGACTTCATGATTTGGCAGGTGGGACACGATGCCACGTGTCGTTGCACGTCGGTCAGCATTTCGGGCCAGTAGTAATACCGCAGCAGATTGCTGTCGTGTTTTCTCTACTCCGAAATGTCCTGAGGTTACCCCGTCGTGTGCCTCCTGTAGTAACAGCTCCCTTATTAAAGTGTAGCCCGGTACCCAGGTGCGGTCGGTGCCGGCTTTTACGTAATAAACCCCTTTTGCTGCTGCGAACTGCTGCGAATTTCCTCCTGTGAAGAACGGGTCGGTTTAATAGCCGTGGGTAAATAGTCCTGTTAGTAGCGGTCTGGTCTGGGCGAGTAGTATGGCGTGGATTTGGGCAGTGGGGCAGGTCAGTGAGTCGGCAATGTTTGATGCCCCTTTTTTGTAGGTGACCGTATAGTGGAAGTTTGACTCGAGGAAATCGAGCTAGCAGATCTGTCGTGGGTTGAGGTGGGGCTGTGCGCGTAGATACTGTAGTGATTTGTGGTCTGTCCGTACTGTCACGTCTGTGCCGGTCAAGTAACAGCGCCATACTTTGAACGCATGCACGATCGCAAGCATTTCGCGGTCGTGTATCGGGTAATTCTTCTCGGGCGGATGCAGTTTTCGTGACTCGTATACGATGGGCTGTAAACCGTTGCCGAAATCCTGTAGCAGTACGGCTCCAATAGCGATGTCACTTGCGTCTGTAACTACTTCGAATGGGCGGTGTGGGTCGGCGATGCGCAGTACGGGCGGTGAACAGAGAACATTTTTCAGGGCAGAGAAGGCAGCATGCTCTTTCTCCCCCCACGTAAAAGCGACCCCCTTCTGTAGTAAATCCGTCAGCGGGGCAATTAACCGTGCCATGTCGGGGACGAACCGACGCACATAATTAACGAACCCTAAAAAACTCTGCAGCTCTGTGATGTTCGTCGGGGGGTGCCACGCTTTTGCGGTGTCCATCTTCTTTGGGTCGATCTCTACTCCAGCCTCCAAAATGACGCGCCCCGAAAAGTCTAACCTATCCTGAAAAAACTCGCACTTGGGACCCTTGGTCAGTAGTCTGTGCTCGTCTAAAATTTTAAACACTTCTTCCATATGTGCTAAGCACTGCTGCTTATCACGACTGTAGACTAGGATGTCGTCGAGGTAAACTATCACGCATTTATCTAAGAGTGGCCGAAACGCCTCGTTCATGGTCATCTGAAACGTCGCCGGTGCGTTGGTCAGCCCGAAAGGCATCACAGTGTACTCGAAGGACCCGTACCTAGTTCTAAACGCTGTTTTGGCGCAGTCCAATGGTTCAACCCGAATCTGGTGGTAACCTCCACGTAAGTCAATTTTCGAAAAGACCCGTGCTGTTCGTGTCAAACATTGTATATGTTTATATTCTGTAGGCTATAGTGGGTTTAGCCTTAGGGGGTACAACATTCTAGGGTTTCCTACTTGTACTCTCAATCCTGCTAGTTCAAACACACTTGTTCATTCTAACATGGTATCACGAGCCTAGGTTGCCACCTAGGACCGCTTTCTACTACGGGCCCACTATTCCGCTAGAAGCGCCCTCGTGCGCCCTACCTTACGTGCGCCCTCGTGCGCCTTTCTCTGCTCGTGCGCCCTCGTGCGCCCTGTTTTTTCTGCTAGTGCGCCCTCGCGCGCCCCGCCCTTCGGTCTGCCCGCGTGCCGTCCTGCAGCCCTCGCGCTGCCTCCTGCAAGCTAGTACGGCCCTCGAGCCGCCCCTGCAGGTCCGTCAGGCCCCCGAGCCGCCCCTGCAGGTCCGTCAGGCCCCCGAGCCGCCTCTGCAGACCCGTCAGGCCCCCGAGCCGCCTCTGCAGGCCCGTCAGGCCCGAGAGACGCCCCTGCAGACCCGCGGCGTCGTCACCTGTCCGCGGCGTCGCCACCTGCCCGCCGCGTCATCCTGCCCGCGACGTCGCCCCTGCCCGCCGCGTCGCTCTGCCCGCCGCGTCGCCCCTGCCCGCGGCGTCGCCCCTGCTCGCCGCGTCGCCCTGCCCGCGGCGTAGCCACCTGCCCGCCGCGTCGCCCTGCCCGCGACGTCGTCACCTGTCCGCGGCGTCGCCACCTGCCCGCCGCGTAGCCCTGCCCGCGGCGTCGCCCCTGCCCGCCGCGTTGCTCTGCCCGCCGCGTCGCCCCTGCCCGCGGCGTCGCCCCTGTTCGCCGCGTCGCCCTGCCCGCGGCGTCGCCACCTGCCCGCCGCGTCGCCCTGCCCACGGCGTCGCCCCTGCCCGCCGCGTCGCCCTGCCCGCCGCGTCGACCTGCCCGCCGCGTCGCCCCTGCCCGTGCGTCGCCCCTGCCAGCTGAGTCGCCCTGACCTAACCCGCGCCTCGCCTCTGCAGCAGCCGCCCCTGGCCCCTGGAGCAGCCGCCCCTACAGCAGCCGCCCCTGGCCACTGGAGCAGCCGCCCCTGGCCACTAGAGCAGCCGCCACTGCAGGAGCCGCCCCTCGCCCCTGGAGCAGCCGCCCCTGCAGCAGCCGCCCCTGGCCCTTGGAGCAGCCGCCCCTGCAGCAGCCGCCCCTGGCCACTGGAGCAGCCGCCCCTCGAGCAGCCGCTGTGGCGGCCCCGCAGTCGCCTCGCTGGTGCGCCTGCCCTTCCCACCACTGGTGAGCACTGCCCTGCCCGTGCTGCTACTGCTGTTACTGCTGCTGCTACTGCTTCTACTGCTGCTCCTGGCGTGGCCAGATGCAGCTCCAGGGCCGTCCACGTGTGTCCCTCACGCCCCAGCAGCTTCGTGAGTGGTACGCCAGTTGGGGTTGTCGGGGTGGCAGTAGTGGGAGTCGTCCTGGAGTGGGTCGTTTGGGAGTTTCTTGTAGTGGCCCGGTGCAGCAGCAGCGTCGTCTACGCGAGGCTCTTTCGCCCCAGCAGCTTCGTGAGTGGTACGCTCAGAGTAGAGGGTCACTGAGTACTGCTCGCTGCCCGTACGTCATTAGCACAGGTGTCCGAACTGGTCAGCCTTGCGGGACACGTGGTCACACAGAGTCCCACTGCTTCGCCCGTCTGGGCGACGCTTGGCGTACAGGGCTTGGCGACGACGCTGAGCTCCCCGACTGGGTGGAGCTGCTTAGGCAGAGGGTAGATATCTTTGCTCTTGACTATGATGCTATCCTCACTGCCATGTATGCATTGTCTACTAGTGCCGAGAGTGCCTGTCACCTGTGTGTGCCGCCTGACCCCGGTATCCAGTCTGCTGCTCTAGGTACTGGTGAGGCTGCCGCACTAGGTGCTCGTGTGTCTGTTGCCTCAGGTGCTGGTGAGGCTGCCGCTCTAGGTGCTAGTGCGTCTGCTACCCCAGGTGCTGGTGAGGCTGCTGCTCTAGGTGCTCGTGAGTCTGCGCCCCCTAGTACTGAGTCTACTGAGGCACTGCACACCTTCACACTGGACTCAGGTGCTTCTCGCTGCTTCTTTCGTGACCGCACTGTCCTTGAGCAGCTTGCTCGGCCAGTTGCTGTCTCCCTTGCTGACCCCTCTGGGGGTCCGGTCATTGCGACCTCCTCCACTGTCCTTCCTTGTCCTGCGGTTCCGTCGGGCACACTGTCAGGTCTCCACCTCCCCTCGTTCTCTACGAACTTGGTGGCGGGTTGTGCGCTCCAGGATGGGGGTGTCCACAAGTTCACCCCTGCCTACGAGCGCGTGACACACTGCACGTGTGCTCGGACGGGCCGTCACCTGGCTACCTTCACTCGGCAGCCGGGGTCGGACCTGTACACACTGACCACTGAGTCCCCTCAGGTAGCTGCGTCTGCGTCTGCTTCAGGTCAGCTGTCTGCCCCCTGCTCGTGTCGCTCTCTAGCACACGAGACCGTCCTCTAGCAAACGGTACCTTGTCTCTGGTCTTCCCCGGGTACTCCCTCCCCTCCCACCCTCGCCTGCTCCTCCCTGTCTTCCTTGTGTCGAGGGGCGGCAGCGCGCCGCTCCTCACTCCTCCTCGTTTCCCCCGACGAGTGCTCCCTTGCAGACACTCCACATGGACGTGTGGGGCCCAGCCCGCGTCCGTGGACAGGGTCAAGAGAGGTACTTCCTGATCGTTGTTGACGACTACTCGCGCTACACCACGGTCTTCCCCTTGCGCACCAAGGGTGAGGTCCCTGATGTTTTGATCCCTTGGATCCGCGCTTCTCGTCTCCAGCTCAGCGAGCGGTTCCACTCGGACTGTCCTGTCCTGCGTCTGCACTCTGACAGAGGTGGTGAGTTCTCCTCCGACCTCTTGGCAGCCTACTGTGCGGAGCACGGCATCCGCCAGTCGTTCACGCTTCCGGCCTCTCCCCAGCAGAATGGGGTTGCTGAGCGCCGCATTGGCTTGGTCATGGAGGTCGCTCGTACCTCCTTGATCCATGCGGCTGCCCCCCACTTTCTGTGGCCGTTTGCGGTCCGGTACGCTGCGCATCAGCTCAACCTCTGGCCCCGTGTCTCCTTACCGGAGACCTCGCCCACACTGCTGTGGACGGGGGTGGTTGGCCATGCGTCGCGTTTCCGGGTCTGGGGATCTCGAGCTTTTGTCCGCGATACGTCCGCGGACAAGCTCTCCTCCCGCGCTGTTCCTTGTGTCTTCCTTGGCTTTGTTCCGGACGCGTCTGGTTGGCAGTTTTACCACGCCACCTCGCGCCGTGTCCTGCCCTCTCAGGACGTCACTTTTGACGAGTCGGTGCCCTACTACCGCCTCTTCCCCTACCGCACTGCCCCGCTTCCCCCCCCACCTCTCTTCCTCGCGCCAGGTGCTGCTGTGGTAGACCCCCTCCCCCCTCAGGGTGCCGCTCCCTCAGGTGTGTCCCAGGTAGACCCGGTTGAGCCTGTCGAGGTAGCTGTCGACTCTCGTCCTGCTATGGGCGCTGAGCCTGGGGGTGCGGAGCCTGGGGGTGCGGAGCCTGGGGTTGCGGAGTCTGGGGGTGCTGAGCCTGGGGGTGCGGAGCCTGCGGGTGCTGAGTCTGCAGGTGCTGAGTCTGGGGGTGCTGAGTCTGGGGGTGCTGAGCCTGGGAGTGCTACACCTGGAGGAGCTCTCTCCTCACAGCAGCTGCGTGAGTGGTACTTACAGTACTGCAGCCTCAGGAGAGGTGCTTCTGGAGCTAGGAGTGCTGCTGGAGCTGGTGCTAGTGCTTCCCCTCCTAGGCGGGAGCTGCCCTCTCCCCAGCGGCTCCGAGAGTGGTACGCTCGGCGCTGCAGTCTCCGGAGTGGCGCTCCTAGTGTCGCGGACCCTGGTGCTGGAGCTGCTGGCGGTGCTGCTGGCGCTGCTGGAGGTGCTCCTGGTGCTGGTGCTGCTGGAGGTGCTGCTGGCGCTGCTGGAGGTGCTGCTGGTGCTGGAGGTGCTGCTGGTGCTGGAGCTGCTGGAGGTGCTGCTACTGCTGGCGGTGCTGCTGGCGCTGCTGGAGGTGCTGCTGGTGCTGGTGCTGTTGGAGGTGCTGGTGCTGCTGGAGGTGCTGCTGGTGCTGGAGCTGCTGGTGGTGCTGCTGGCGCTGCTGGAGGTGCTGCTGGTGCTGGTGCTGCTGGTGCTGCTGGAGCTGCTGGAGGTGCTGCTGCTGCAGGCGGTGCTGCTGGCGCTGCTGGAGGTGCTGCTGGTGCTGGTGCTGCTGGAGCTGCTGGAGGTACTGGTGCTGCTGGCGCTACTGGAGGTGCTGCTGGAGCTGCTGGAGGTGCTGCTGCTGCTGGCGGTGCTGCTGGTGCTACTGGAGCTGCTGGAGGTGCTGGTGCTGCTGACGCTGCTGCTGGAGCTGCTGGAGGTGCTGCTGCTGCTGTTGGTGCTGCTGGCGCTGCTGGAGGTGCTGCTAACATTCTGACAGTGCTGGTGCTACTGGAGCTGCTGGAGTCGCTGGTCCTGGAGGTGCTCGTACTGGAGGTACTGGAGCTGCTGGGACTGGACCTGCTGAGGGGGTTGGAGCTGGAGGTGCTGAGCGGCCGCGGCCGTACTACATTCCGCTCCTTCAGCAGGTTCTTGGTCTCCCGCCCTCTACTGGTCCTTCTCCTCCCCTACTGAGTCCACCGTCTGTCCAGTCGCAGTCACAGTTACAGTCTGCCTCTCCGCTGCCTGCTCCTTCTCCTTACACTGCGCCGACGGGTAGTCTTACGGAGCGTCGTGAGCCTGAGTCTCGTCCTCCGTCGCCTGAGTCTAGTCCTGCGTCTCCTGAGTCTCGTCCAGAGTCGCCTGTCCGCGCTGCCCGCACTGGTCGTCGTGTTCCGCGTGAGCGTCCTCCTCCTGTCCTTGGCACTCACTATATGACCCTGCGTCCTTCCACTGCTCCACAGCGTGTCCCTCTGCCGTCTCCTCCTGCGTCCTCTCTTCCTGACGTTGCTGACCCGCCGTCAGACCTTACTCGTGCTGCCAGTCCTACTGTCGCGCGTCTCCTTGCCACTGTTGTCATTGACCCTTCCTTTGAGTCCTCTGCTGCGTCTGCTCTAGTCGCTGAGCTTGTTGACTTTGCTGCCGCCTGTCGTCTAGACTACGCCGCTAGCCTTGTTGCTGAGTCTGAGTCTGTCTGTCCTCCGTCCGTCGGGGGTGAGTGTGCTCTTGGCACGGACGTCCTTGAGGACAGACAGGAGGAGTTTGAGTGCTTTGCCGCTGCTTTACCTCATCTCGTGTCCATGCTGATTGCCCCTGAGGGAGACCCGGATGCACCAGACATCCCGACCCCACGCTCTTACGCAGAGGCGATGGAGGGTCTCTACTCCTCTTAGTGGCAGACAGCCATGGACGCAGAGATGGCTTCCTGGAAGTCCACAGGCACCTAGGTCGACGAGGTCCCCCCACCTGGGGCGAACATTGTCAGTGGCATGTGGATTTTCAGGGTGAAGCGGCCGCCGGGTTCTCCGCCTGTCTTCAAGGCGCGTTACGTTGCACGAGGCTTCAATCAGCGAGAGGGAGTTGACTTCTTCCAGACCTTCTCCCCAACCCCGAAGATGACCACTCTTCGGGTTCTGCTGCACGTCGCTGCTCAGCGTGACTACGAGCTCCACTGCCTTGACTTCAGCACTGCGTTCCTACAGGGCACCCTGCACGAGGAGATCTGGCTGCGCCGCCCACCTGGCTTCACTGGGTCGTTCCCTCCTGGTACCCAGTGGAGCCTCCGGCGGCCAGTCTACGGTCTCCGCCAGGCACCCCGTGAGTGGCACGACACACTGAGGACTACTCTTGCTGCTCTTGGGTTTGCTCCTTTTACTGCTGACCCGTCGCTGTTTCTACGCACCGACACCACTCTGCCGCCGTTCTACGTTCTCGTGTACGTAGACGACTTGGTCTTTGCTACTGCTGACACTGAGGCACTCGCCCACGTGAAGTCGGAGCTGCAGAAGAGACACACGTGCACAGACCTGGGTGAGCTGACAAGCTATCTTGGCTTGCGGATCACCCGGGACAGAGCACAGTGCACCATCACCTTGACTCAGTCACACATGGTGCAGCAGGTCCTTCAGCGCTTCCGCTTCACGTACTCCTCGCCTCAGCCCACTCCTCTGCCTACCGGTCACTCGCTCTCAGCTCTGCCTTCGGATGAGTCCGTAGAGCCGAGTAGCCCGTATCCAGAGCTTGTGGGCTGCCTCATGTACCTGATGACCTGCACTCGACCTGACCTAGCCTACCCTCTTAGCATCCTAGCACGCTATGTCGCTCCTGGCCGTCACCGGAAGGAGCACATGGATGCCGCTAAGAGGGTGTTGCGCTACTTGTGTAGTACGTCGGGCATGGGGCTTGTGCTTGGAGGACGGCGCGACGTTATCCTCACTGGACACTCAGACACTTCTTGGGCTGACGACCAGGCTACGCAGCGGTCGTCTCAGGGTTACACCTTCAGCCTTGGCTCTGGCTCTGTTTCCTGGCGTTCTACACGCTCTTCCTCTGTTCTCAGCTCCAGTTGTGAGGCTGAGATCTACGCCACAGCCATGGCTGCCCAGGAGCTACGCTGGCTCACCTACCTGCTGACCGACCTTGGAGAGCGGCCTCGTTCTCCTCCAGTGCTGTACGTCGACAACAAGGCAGCCATTGCCTTGTGTCAGGAGCACAGACTGGAGCACAGAACGAGGCACATCGCTCTGCGCTACTTCCTTGCTCGAGAGCTGCAGCAGCGTGGTCAGCTTCGTCTCTCTTACGTGGCCACTTGGGCCAACACTGCTGATGTGTTCACCAAGGCGCTTCAGCCTTGTGATCATCAGCGTTTCTGTACTGTTCTAGGCCTTGTGCCTACTGTCCCTCACTTGCTCACTTCTTGACTCTGCTTGTACTGTGATCTCTATGTATATACCTGCATGCTTACACTTGCTAGGTTGTGATCACTGTACCTCTTGTTATATTATCAAACTGCATGTGAACTGGTCTTGTGACCATTTGCTTGTGCTCGGAATTTGTGTGGTATCCTTGAGATCCACCCTGAGCTTGTTTTGCTTTGCTTTGCTCTGACTGGTCTTGTGACCATCTGGTTGTCTCCCACTTAGCCTATGGGGGTGTGTCAAACATTGTATATGTTTATATTCTGTAGGCTATAGTGGGTTTAGCCTTAGGGGGTACAACATTCTAGGGTTTCCTACTTGTACTCTCAATCCTGCTAGTTCAAACACACTTGTTCATTCTAACAGTTCGTAGTGTCAAGATTAGCAGGCAGAAACAGAAATGAGCAAAGGAGGGTTTGCACTAGCAGCAGTTGAGATACATATAGGAAACCCTAATTGGGTTGTACTCGCTATAGAGTACCCCATTGCATGCTAGACAATTGTAACATTCTGACACACCCCCATAGTCAAAGTGGGGTATAATCAGCAGAGCAAGCAGTCATAGAGCAGGTTCACAAGTGCAAGCAAAGCTAGAGGCATTCACAAAGGGCAGGTGAGGAGGAGGAGGCGGGACTGTAAGAGGAGAGAAGATAGGAGGCGACGGCTGAAGCTGCAGACACACGGGCAACAGGAGCGGCTGGCACAGTGGCTACCGGGACAGCGCCCCGGACTACTGGAGTAACTGGCTCGGCGGCTACGAGGAGCGGCAGGAGCAACGGACCCACGGACGACAGGCGCAGCCGGCTCTCTGGGCTACCAGGACAGCGCCCCGGACTACAGGTGCTGCGGACGACAAGACGGCAGCCTCCGCTCAACCTCCCCCAACTGTCCCACCCCCCTTTCACACACCCCCTGCTGAAACCCTAGCTCCACTCCCACGGCACCCCCCTTAAACCCTAAACCCTCGGCTCCCACACACCCACCCCCCTCAGCGGCAGCTGCAGCAGTGGGAGACGGAGGAGGAGGAGGAGCTGCAGGTTACCCACACCGGTCACCCCCATGCCCGCCACCCCCAAACCCTAACGCAGGCAGGAGCGCGGGAAGCAGCAGGGGCGGTTCACGGAGGGAAAGGGAGGCGGCGGGGGGGTCTCCTGGGCGCCACGAAGGAGCAGGGCGCGGGCCCCCAAGGCGCCGCGACGAGGCGACGGGAGGGGCCGGCGCGCGGGCCCCCAGGGCGCCGCGACGAGGCGACGGGAGGAGGGCGACGCGCGGGTCCCCAGGGCGCCGCGACAGGCGACGGGGGGCAGCGCGCAGGTCTCCGGGGGCGCCACGACGGGCAGAAAACCGCCGCGCGAAGCAGGAAACCGCCGCGCGCCTCGGGGCGCACGGCGGGCAGAAAACCGCCGCACGCCCCGAGCGCACGGCGGGATGAAAAACGCCGCGCGCTCCGAGCGTGCGGCAGGAAGAAAGGGTCGCGCGCCCGGGGCGCGCGACAACAGTAGAGCAGCGGAAGCATCAAGTGGGGCCCACCCACAGGATCGACCCAGGAGGGTCGACCTGCTCTGATATCATGTCAAGATTAGCAGGCAGAAACAGAAATGAGCAAAGGAGGGTTTGCACTAGCAGCAGTTGAGATACATATAGGAAACCCTAATTGGGTTGTACTCGCTATAGAGTACCCCACTGCAGGCTAGACAATTATAACATTCTGACACGTAGTTGATCTATCAGTTCGTCGGCGCGGGGAATGGGGTATCGTGACTTGACTGTTACCCTGTTCAGTGCTCTGTAGTCGATACACATGCAAAACCCTCCGTCTCTCTTCGGTGTGAATAGTATCGGTGCGGCGAACGGTGACGAGCTCGGTCGGATGATTTTTTTCTCTAACAGGTAATCTAATTGCTTCCTCAGTTCGTCCAGCTCTGGCTGTGTCAGTCTGAACTGTCGCTGTACGGTTGGCTGTGCCCCGGGTTCTAACTCTATTCGGTGATCGTGTGCCCGCTAAGGTGGCAGTCCCTCCGATAAGTCATCGGGAAAAATCCCCGGGTACCGTTTCAACAGTTCCTGTAGTTCGGGCGGTACCGCTGCCAGCAGTTTCGGAAAATCACTCGGCTGCTCTGCTTCTCCAACTAATGCTATATCCACTGCGTACACGTCAGCTCCAGCGGCGACAGCTCGTTTCATCGTGATGGCGTTGACGTGGACCGTTGAAGACTCGGGCGACTGCTAGCGAGTAGTTCAACCCAGTTACCGCTACTTCGCACAGTGCAGCTACCCGTCGTCCAGTCGATTCGCGGGTTATATCGTCGCAGCCAATCACGTCCCAGTAAAATGTCGTGCCCATCCAATATTGTCGCGAGCCCATCCAGTGTAAACCCGAAGTTCCCCCCGCAGCGAACTTTTACCCTCTCCACCTTCTCCTGTATGGCCAGCGGCGTTCCGTCAACTAAGCGTGCGTCTATCTCCGGTAAGCACCGACTAAGTGCCAGTTGCAGCTTCCGTGCGGTCGCGGTATTAACTATGCTGTGACTTGCCCCTCCGTCTATAAAAATCTTCACTGCTGCTCCCTGTATTTTCCCATGGATCAGTATTGGGCAATCCGTCACTGTACCCTCCTTATTCATCCGAGCCCGATCGATGGCGTGAATCGGTACTGTGACTCGGTGAGGGTCGGTGAGGTTGGGCGAGCAGGCAGTCTCGTCAGTAGTTGGCCCAATTTCTACTGACTGCTGGCGTTTCCCTGCCTCTGAAACTCCCTCCCCTGCTCTGCTCCGCGGCGCCTTAGCTCCTCTGGGCACTCGTTTTTGCGATGGCCCGGCCTGTTGCAAGCAAAGTAGCGCCCCTTAAACGGCGCTGCAGCTGCATTCGTCGCAACTGTCAGAACTATGCATTTATATGCTCTAGGCTGTAGTGGGGCACTCCTTATGGGGTACAGCCCAATTAGGTTTTGCTATTCAAACCCTGTACTGCAGTCATTCTAGTCAATCATTCTTTCCTATTTCTGACATGGTATCAGAGCAGGTTCCCTAGTGGGAACGTTTTTTTTAGGGCCCACCACGATTTGTTTTTCCTGCCCTGCCCGAAGCGCGCCTCGCGCCTGCCTCACCTGCGCCGTCGTGCGCCCTGCCCTACTGCCGCCCGTAGCAGCCCTGCCCTCCCGGCCCATCGCGGCCCTGCCCTAACGGCCCGTCGCGGCCCTGACCTAGCCGCCAGTCGCGGCCCTGCCCTAAGCGCGCGTTCGCGCGCCCGCCCTACCCGCGCCGTCGAGCGCCTGCCCTACCTGCAGTCGCCGTCGCGCGCCTGCTCTGCCCTGCCGCCCGTCGCGGCCCTGCGTAACCCGCCCGTCGCGGACCTGCCCGACCCGCCAGTCGCGGCCCTGCCCTACCCGCTGTCGCAGCCCTGCCCTGCCCGCCCATCGAGCGCCGGCCCTACCCGCCCGTCGAGCGCCTGCAGCCGCCCGTCGAGCGCCTGCCCTACCCGCGCCAGTCGCGCGCCTGCCCTACCCGCCGCCGGTGGCACCTGCCCTACCCGCCCCTGGTGAGCACCTGCCCTACCCGCGCTACCCGCGCACCTGCCCTTCAAGCGCGCTGCCGCGCCTGCTTGCCTGCCGAGCCGCGCCGCCCAGCCGAGCCGCGCCGCCCAGCCGTGCCGCCCGGCCGAGCCGCGCCGCCCAGCCGAGCCGCGCCGCCCAGCCGAGCCGCGCCGCTCTGCCGAACCGCGCCGCCCTGCCCTACTGAGCCGCTGCTGCTACTGCTTCTTCAGCTGCTACTGCTGCTACTGCCGCCATGGCTAGCCCTAATGTTCTTACCTTCGATGCTGAGGGTCGTGCGGTCGATTTCGACGTTTGGGTAGATGACCTGCAGCTCTATCTTCAGTGCGACTCTAGGGACGGAGTCTCGCTTTTCGATCACACGTCCGGCACCTCTGTAGCACCTGCTGCCACTGCTGACAGTACTGTTCGCTCGCAGTGGACTACTCGTGACGCTGTTGCTCGCCTTGCTGTTCGTAGTCACCTGCCGTCTGCTGAGCGCGCGCACTTTGGCCAGTACAAGACTGCTAAGTCTTTGTATAAAGCTGACGTCGCACGCTACTCCTCCCCTGCCACTGCTGCCCTCAGCCGCATCATGCTGCCGAACTTGTTCCCTGACCTGGCCGCCTTTGCCACAGTCGCTGACCTCATCACTCACCTCCGCACTAGTGACACCCGCTACCGCGCTGCGCTTCCCGCCGAGTTTTGCGCCAAGAACCCCCCCCCCATGTACATCACCCTCTTCTACCTAGTCACCCATCTCCCTGACTCTCTTCGCTCAGTCAGGGACCACTTTCTCTCTCTTAGCCCCTACGAGCTCACCGTCGACCTGCTCGAGGAGCGCCTAATTGTAGCTGAGACTAGCTTAGTCGCTGTAGGGGCTTCTCGCGGCGACCCTCGTGCCCCTTTCTTTGAGGGGTGTTCCCCCGTTCCCCTTTTGCCCTCTGTTGCTTCTGCTGCTGCTGTCGACCTTGTTGGCACCGAGGAGGTCAGGGCTGCGTCTGCTCCTAGTGGGAGGCGCCGCAGCGGCAAGGGCAAGGGGGGCAAGGGGGGCAAGGGTGGTGGAGGGGACGGCGGGGGCGGCGGTGGTGGAGGTGGAGGAGGCGGAGGGGGTTGGGGTGGAGGTGGGGGTGGTGGCGGGAGTGGGGGCGTCGGTGGCGGCGGTGGAGGTGGTGGAGGCAGCGGCAGCGGCAGTGGAGGTGGCGGCGGCGGTGGTGCTGGTCGGGGTGGAGCCGCACAGCATGGAGGCTTTGGCGGTAGCCAGCGACAGCAGCAGCCGCGTTCCCGTGAGGCCCCGTCGGCCCAGCAGCTTCGTGAGTGGTACGCTGGGCGTGGGAGGTCTGGGGGTGTTGGTCCCTGCGCTTACGTTCTCCGCACCGGCGAGCGCCGTGGGGAGACGTGCGGGCTGCCACACACTACGCAGCGTTGTTTCGGTCGCTTGTCTGACGCCTGGCGTACACAGTTTCCTGACGCC